AATAATAATATTTAGAGATATTTAATAATTTAGTTATTTTGATTTCAAATTGTTAATTAAAAATTTAATTTGAAATCATCTACCTTCTTCTAGTAGTTTAATAAAAATCATCAATGATAACACGATACTCTGATTAATATGAAAGTCATCAATGATAATTTAATATTCATGAAACTATTTTGCCTGTGTTAGATATCCTGGACAGAAGATATCAAGAAAGCAAGGTCTGGCGATTATTACATAAAACTGTATGACGAGGAAAAATATGTCGCTGTTCGTAAAGCAATAAGGAATGGAGAAGATCCTGATAGTGTGAATCCCTTAGCAGTAGTTGTTCTAAATAATCCGGGAATTTTCCTCGGTCCTTGGGTGAATTCCGAATTCTTAGCCGCTTTCTTAGCTATTCTTGTATCCTATTCGGCATTTTCTGCAAAATACAAACTTCTAGCGTAGAATATTTTTTATTAAAAAATAAACATTAATAAAATATTTGAATAAGTATTATTTATTTCTTTAGAAATAAAACTTAATAAAATAAAATTATTTGTATATTTTTATATATTCACCATAAAGAAGTTAAATATTATACATTACATTATATATATAGGACACATTCTACTGGTGCTCACAAGGTTCAATTCCTTATTTAATATTTGATAAAAATGAAATGATTTCAAGAGTATTGTGAGAGCAAGTGAAATAAAGCCATAAGCTTTTACTACAATTTACTGCATTCACATCTAAACCATACGAATTAAGTTTTTTTTATGTAAATACTATAGTCCTTTTCATATAAATTTATTTATATGAAAAATTTTCTAAATTATATATTACATTCAAATATACACTTGTATAGTCATAGCAAAATATTATTATTTTAAGATTAACAAAATAGTACAAAATATATCCAGATACAATCAATACATATCCTGTGATGGTGGCTTCCCAAATAAGTGTTTCCAAGACGGTGGATACTTCAAATTATTACTGCTTGATTCTAATACACATATCCATTGATCTAAATAGCACACCAGAGCTATTGCATCTTCTATATTATCCCCTTCAGAACAGAATTTGAATAAGATAGCACAAGGAATGTTAGCATTAGACAGAAAGTTGAAGATGCTCTTAGCAAATCCACCCCCTGGTATCTGCAATCTTTCCTCTCCAGTCACGTCTTTCGGTTTATGCGGAATCCAGTTGAGGTCATCAAAGAGTTTACCAGTCTGAGACTGTATACTAGGAGAGGCAACATATCTCAACTTAAGATGCTGCGGTTGGACTTCTCTTTTTACATAATCATGACTGCTTGCAAGAATTATTACCTGTGAAAAAAAATTTCGCAAAATAAAGATAATTGCAATATTATTAAAAGAGTACAGAATTAAAATATTACTTTAGCTATTTTTCTCTCGGTGACAAATTGCGTAATTTCGTTGAAAAATTCTAAAAGTTCTCCAACATACGGCGATCGGATCTGTATAACGACAATACGTTCCTTGATCCCCGCGTAAATATCAATCGTCGTGATAAGCTCATTCGAATGCTCATGATAGGCGTTTGCGCCAACAATAGGTATGAATGACGCGCTAAAAATTTGACCGACTTTTGGAAGGTTAAGATTCGAAATGAGTAAATCAACAGACAGTTGTCCAACGTTTCCAACCGCTACCGATGGTAAGATGAGCGTATAATTCTCCAAATCAATATCCTGCATTAATTCAATCATTTTCACATTTAATAATATTACTATTTCAGAGTTGAAATATGAGGTAAATATTACAAGGCGATATGTCACACATCAATACTCGACAACTCAACTGGTAATGCATAAGTGCGAGTTTACATGCACTTCATGCACTTGTATTGATAATAGGTCTGTCACGTTGACTGCACTTTTTGCACTTAGCATTTTCGTTTTCTCTCTTTTCACGAATGAATATATATTAGGTGTGGGAAAAAGTTCGTGGCGTTTTTCCCGTTAGCATTTCCCGTTGGCATTAAAAAAACGCCACAAATTTTTTCCCATACCTAATATTTATTCTATTTTAAGTACAAACATTTTATTCGCCGATTAACTTTAAGTATTGCCAATTGCTAAACTGAAAATTTATTATCTAATTTCAAAACTATGTATTTGTAAAAAATAGTCAAATATATTTACATTTCAATTCATTTACATTTTATTTATTATCTCCACACAACACTTTTTCTTTACTATTATTAATAAGAATAAGAGAAATGCCCGTATTCATAATCAGACCTTGTACTTAAAGCTTAAATTTATCTTTAGATGCTCAGCAACTAATGAAATAATTCGTAGAGTATCTAAAGATAAATTTAAGGAAGCCTTAAATATAAGGCTTGACTATGAATACGAATAAGAGACAGATTTTTAAGGCCCAATTTCACGGTTAACTCTTAATCGAGGTTCAACTTATTTATTATCTCTTTTCAATTCTAGAATTGGAAAGAGATGAGATACAAATTGAATCTCGATTAAGAGTACTTAACTGTGAATTGTGAAACTGGGCCTAAGTCTTGGCCTAGTCTGGCCCTAATCTGTTGGCTATTCTGGTGATAAAGTTAATCGACGGATAAACTTAACTGACGTTGGTAAAACTGACGTTGGTAGAACTGACTTGAGTAAAACTCCCCCGAATAAGCATGATTAGTTTTTGTGGATCATGTTTAATTGTTTGGCAAGCAGACCTATCTTTGCCGAATTGAATTCGCTAAATATAAACTTTTTTAATTCTTCCTTTTTCCTTTTTTTTTTTACTTTTTTTTAATACAACACATTATGCAATAAGATATATTATAATAAATTATTTGCATCTTTTAGATAATCTGGCAAAAATAAAATTGTTTGTAGAGGTTCTTCACCCCCACCGATTCTAATCGGCGGTCCTCTTTGGACTATAGGGAAGGAAATAATACAATACATTGGTCATAAATATCGTTATCATTACTTTTTTATAGTAACGATTTGGTAATAACATTACAATTTTTTATATAACGGTAAGCCTAAAATTGGGAAAATCAGTTTTGAAAAGTAATTTGTTATCATTATGAGTTATTTATTGAAAAAGATACATAACTCATTATTTTATAATATTAGTAAAAAAGATAAAAAGTAATGCGTTACTAATATGTTACTCATTATTTGCTATGACTAATGTAACAAATTATTTTGTTACATCAATAAATAACGAATTATTTTTAAAAAATGGCTTTCTCAATCCTGATGTTAGTTATTATTAAATCATTATAAAAAAAATAATGCAAGTAAAGCATTTCCATTCCTACTTTGGACACATATTTTTTTCATTTTTTAATTTAACATTTTTCATTTATACAATTTCTTTTGCATCATAATACACTTTCTTTTATATCAAAATATAATGCATTTCATGCAATATTAATTATAATTTAAAAAATATAATTACAAATAATAATTATTTATATATTAGGTGTAGTAAAAAGAAATCCATTATTTTTCCATTCAATTTCATGCAAAAATAATGGATTTCTTTTTACTACACTTAATATAATAAAATTAACTCTTTATAAGATTATTCCACACGTTTACCATTAATATGTGTATCATTGTAGTTATTATGCAGCCTATCTAAGATTTCACAATTTCCTTTATAAATGAAGTGATATTTTAAATTAATTTAAATTAATTTAAATTCAAATTTTATTCGATAAAAACGAATCAACCTTGTAGAAACCCTCCACCACCCCCGCCGGTTTCAATTGGTGGTCTTCTTTTTACGATATATTGGTGACGTTCAGCAAAAAAAGCAGTTGCATTTCAACTATTGTAAAATTTTTCATTCAACATAATTGGTTTACACATTTAGATCCATAAAGAATCAAAAGCAAGAACCAATCGTATTGAAGAATTTTACAGTTGCAAAATTGCTTTCTCTGCAGCTATTATTTCATATTTTTATTATTTACATTATTTTGCATACAATTCATTTGATATCAAAATACAATTACAATAATAACAATTAATAAAAATTAATAAAACAATTAATAAAAAAATATACTTCAGACTAGAAAAACTAAAATATTAAATTATAATACATAATAGTTCAATCAAATAATTATTATAAGACTATTCTGCTTTTATCGAATATCATTGCGGTTATTATGCATTTTATCTAATAAACTATATTTTATAATTTTTTTTATAAATAAAATAATATCTTTAGAACATAAAAAAATTTCATCTGATAAAAGCGAACTAACACCTTGTAGAAGCTCTCTACCATCCCCACCGATTCCGATCGGCTCTTTTCTTTAGACCTGAGACATAATAAGAACAGTAAGAGGCTCCGCGTAATAAAAGGAACAGGGAACAAAAAACAAAGAATAAGAATTTGAACCTATCAAAAATCATGTATTGTGGAATACACAGTTTCTAATAGGTTGAAATTCTTATTCTTTGTTCTCTGTTCCCTGTTCCTTTTATTGTGCGGAGCTCCTAAGCCTCTTATAAAAATTATCCAATCATAGTCAAATATTCTTCTCACAATCTATAATTGATCAATTTCTCAAGGCTTATTGCATCTATTTTGTGTTTCAGGATTAATACGTCATACTGTAAAATGAAATTTAAAAAAATCGGGATAACTGACACAAATTTTAACAATACTCAAACAATGCGCATATGTCAAAATCTAAACATAAAAACAATCTTAAAAACATCCTGATTTTAGATATGCGCGCTTTTTTAGGCATTTTTCGAAATTTGAGTAAATAATATCTCGATTAGAATTAAAATTATTCCATTTTACATTTTTTCATATTTTTGTTATTTACATTATATATTCTATATACAATTTCTTTTATATAATATATAACATAATATAAAAGATTATAAAATTGAAAATATAGCATAATATACAATAAGAATATATATAAAATTTCTTTGTGAAATTATATACGAAACGTTCGATATGCGTCTAATAACACAATTTTGTTACGATACAATGTGAAATATGTGGGTATGATCGACAAATTACTATTACGTAACGTTTCTTATACATATAATCGAATATTGAATAGCAACTGCAAAGTTTATTTTGTTTTATTTAATTTATTTTTTTTGGTTGCTTTACAAGCAACCAAAACCAAAAAGATTGTTAATAAATTCATAATATATACCTTTCAATTAGAAAGAATGTCAACAATTGACATATTGAAACTATATTTTCATAAGATTCAAACAAAATATATAGCACGCAAAAAATAAGCAAAGCTTTAGTGCACGATAATGATCAAATAAAAAAATATGCAATAAATAAATAATCTCATCAATTCTAATATACACAATTTTTATTCTGTTTCAACGTAAGTCGCGTAAATAATAATTATTTCTCTGTATGATACATATCAAAAAATATTTGTATTGTATCTATTTTTTAATAATATAAACAAATAAATCAAGTAATATATTTAATCGCATGTATAAATTCTAATTCCCGTTTTACTTTATTAAAGATCGTGTTATAACTGTTTAATAAAAAATAATCGGTAACAATTCGATCAAATCAAGTCCCTCAGCTGAGTGGCTCATTAAGTAGTATCCGACACAGAGAAGAATGATCTATATGTGCTGGAGAACGAGCTGTGCTCTATTTCTGTCAAGTTTCACGAGATTAAGCAGCAAAAGGAAATTAAACGATCCGTTGAATATCAAGCATTTTACTGCAGGAGGAAACAAATCCCAAATTTCAGGATTGCTCCCAATAGTAGCTATTTTGCGAGTTAACAACTGTCACCTTTTTCCAAATCTTTGCATAATACAAGTGTAATGCAATTTCCAAATATTTGGATGATAATTTAATCATTCATATAGATATTCATCAGTTTTTTAGTACATCAGATAAAAATTCGTGTGCGAGAAAATATTCTTCCATCAAATACATCTTTTTATTACCACAAAAAAACAGGGATAGAACGATTCCTATCGAAAAGTGGTTACAAATGAAGTGGGTACAAATGATTACATTTCGAAATAATAAAATACATACATTTTTACTATTATTTATTAAATGTGCGAGCACAAAAATTCTCAGGTACTGACTGTTCGAGGCGAATCGAACCGATAACAATAAGACGTCAATTAATTTCAAAATAATCAAATATTTAATATTCATATCGTTTTTTATTTTTTCTATAACAAATGTATTCAGCAAATGTATTTAAATAATTAAATAGGCTTATCTAAATATTAAATGTAACATTTAGATAATTAAAAATTATCGAAGTTTTACTGATACCGGGGTACCCAATCGATTCATCTCGAATTTATTAAGTATTCACACATTTTTAATTATGTTTCATTGCAATAATTTATTCAAATAACTATAAATCTTTTTGAAACAATTTATGAAGTATAGAACTATCAATCAAGTAGAACTAAAAATTCCTTAAATAATATATACATACTACGTATGTATTTTATTATTTAAAGCAACCTAAAATATTTAAAAATTAATTAATGTTCTGGAATATGTAAAAATTAATTAATATTCTGGAATAGGAGGAATGTCCATCGCCTGAAAAAAATTTCTTAAAAAAGCTTAAAGTAAAAAAATATATTCATTTATAACCATACTTTTTTCTCAAAGAAGTCGCGAAGAAACGACCAAACTTATGATTTTAATTTATTTAATGCAATTCATTCTTTCCTATTTTTGCACAATTGCTATCCATATTCAATTCGCTAAATTTTTTTATTGTCAAAGCAGCATTAATATTAATTAATGGAAGAATAT